GGGGCGTGTTCTCCTCCTTTCCTTCTGAGGTCAACAATCAGTTCTTCAGTTTGGCCAACGTTGAGAGAGAGGTTGTTATCATTGCACCATGACACCAAGCCCTCTATCTCCTTTCTGTATTCGGAGTCATCGTTGTTTGATATCTGGCCTACCACGCAGGTGTCGTCAGAAAACTTGTAGATGGCATTCGTTCAGAATTTGGCAAAACAGTCTTGGGTGTACACGGAGTACAGTAGGGGAATGAGAACACATCCCTGGGGGGCTCCAGTGTTGAATGTTATCCCAGAGGAAATACAGTTGTCTATCTTCACTGATTGCAGTCTGTGGGTCAGAAAGCTGAGGACCCAGTTGCAGAGGGTGGGGCTGAGACCAAGGCATTTGATTGATTGATTGATTGATTGATTTTGTTATTGCATGTACCAAAATACAGTGAAAAGCTTTGTTTACGTGTGGTACAAGCAGGTCACAGCAACCAAAGGATGCACAGATCAAAAAGACTTAGAGGCATACAGGTTACATTGCAGGTTACACTATTTGAGGTGAGAGTCCATTCAACAGTCTGATAACAGCCAGAAAGAAGCTGTTCCCGAACCTGCTCGTGTGTGTGTTCAGGCTTCTGTACCTTCTCCCTGATGGAAAAGGTTGTAGCAGGTCATTACCAGGGTGTGATGGATCTTTGATGATGTGGGCAGCCTTTCTGCAGCAGCGAGCCGTGTAAACAGAGTCCATGGATGGAAGGTTGGCGTCTGTGATGGTCTGGGCTGCGCACAACCTTCTGTAATTTCCTACAGTCCTGGGCAGAGCAGTTGCCATGCCAGGCCGTTATGCACCCGGACAGTTTGCTTTCAATGGTGCATCTGTAGAAGTTGGTGAGAGACCTTATGGACATGCCAAATTTCCTGAGCCGCCTGAGGAAGAACAGGCACTGTTGTACCTTCTTGACTGTTGCATTTATGTGGGAAGTCCAGGACAGGTTGTTGGTTATCGTCACTCTGAGTAACTTGATGCTCTTCCCCATCTCAACCTCAGTTCCATTGATGTAGATGGGTGTATGTTCTCCTCCTTTCTTTCTGAAGTCAATGATCAATTCTTTAGATTCACTGACGTTGAGAGACAGATTGTTTTTATTGCACCAAATCACCAAGCCCTCAATCTCCCTTCTGTATTTTGATATATTGTTGTTAGATATCCGTCCCACTACAGTGGCGTCATCAGGGAACTTGTAGATGGCATTCATTCGGAATTTGGCAACGCAGCCATAGGTGTACAGGGAGTACAGCAGGGGGATGAGGCTGCATCCCTGGGGGGGCTCCGGTGTTGAGTGTTATTGTGGAGGAGGTGCAGTTACCTATCCTCACTGATTGTGGCCTGTGGGTCAGAAAGCTGAGGACCTAGTTGCAGGAGGTAGAGCTAAGACCAAGGTCAAGCAATTTTGAGATCAGTCTGGAGGGGATAATGGTGTTGAAGGCGGAGCTGTAGTCAACAAGCAGGAGTCTAATGTAGGTGTCTTTGTTGTTCAGATGTTCCAGGGATGAGTGCAGGGCTAGGGATAAGGCGTCCTCTGTGGATCTGTTATGTCAATAGGGAAACTGTAGGGGAGTGAGGCAGGTTGGGAGAGTGGAGTTGATGTGGGCCATGATCAGCATCTCAAAGCACTTCATGATTATTGAGGTCAGAGCCACTGGGCAGTAGTCATTAAGGCACATTAAGGCGTTTGGAATATTGTGAGTAGTTTTGGGATCTGTATCTAAAGAAGGTTTATAAGAATGATCCTGCAGATGAAGAGCTTGACATGTGAGGAGCAGCTGAGGACTCATTTGAATTTAGAAGGATGAGGGAGAATCATATTGAAACTTAGAGAATACTGAGAGGCCTAAATTGAGTGGACATGGAGAAGATGTTTCCACTAGTAGGAGATGTTAGGATCTGAGGGCACAGCCCAAGAGTGAAGGGACAACCCTTTAGAAATTAGATGAGGAGGAATTATTTTCAGCCACAAGGTGGTGATTCTTTCAAACTCATTGCCACAGAGGGTTGTGGAGGCCAAGACATTGAGTGTATTTAAGACAGAGATAGGTTCTTGATAAGTAAGGCGATCAAGGGTTATGGGGACAAAGCAGGAAAATGAGGTCAAGAAACATATCAGTGATGATTGAATGGTGGAGCAGTCTTGATGGGCTGAATGGCCTAATTCAGCTTGTATATCTAGCGGTTTTATAGTCTTTCACCATTGGTGCATTGTGCAAACTGCCTTGAAAAGATACTTAACTGTTTCAAGGATAAAATTCAGAAGAAACTCCTTCCCATTCAATCTCAGTGTACAACCTCTCATGACACTGGTTCCCCTTCTGTTGCACGAACTTCCTACTCACCTCTGTTATGTAGGATTCCTGCTCTGAGAAACACATATTGAGGGTATGCCTTGAAGAAAATACATGCCAGAGATGGTGCTGTGGTTATTTATTTTTACAACCATCCCATGTGTTCTGCAGTAACATTCCAAAGGGATTTGGACATATACAAAAAACTGAGAAATTTGCAGAGCTATGGAGAAAGAGCAAGGAGAATGAACTTTTCCTGGCTCCACAACAGTGTCGATCACAGAAAGTGGATCATCCTAAACATTTCTCACTCTTTAAATAGAGAGGCACTCCCTGAAAATTTACTCATTTCTGCTTATTTCCTTTGCTGATATTGAAGTAATAATTATATTGACCCTCACACATATTAATAGTTTCTGTGTAGAATTACATGTTCTGTTTAAATTCAGTGATACAATGTTTTATAACAAAGGAGTTGTAGATCTAATTTATTCTATAACATCTAAAAAGTCATGTTTAACCTTGAATTTATTATTTCTCTAATTATCCAATACTCTTTTTGTAAGTTATGATAGAATCTGCTCTTTCAGGCAGTCCTAACCTCTTCATACGTAAAAAAAGTTTTTCCTTGTGTTGCCATTTCTTCTTTTGGCAATTGCCTTTACTCTGTGCCTCAGTCTTTTCACCAATGGGGAAAATTTCTCCCTGTCTGCTCTTGGCAGATGTCCCCATAGTCTTTCCTGTAACAATAAACCTGGAAATACAGAAACAACAGTGGACATGTCAGTGCACTACTTTTACACCTCACAAAGAATGTAACTGTTTACAGTCTGCACTTTTGAGTTACATTAAATCCTTGTGAGAATCATGAACATGGAGTTTAATCACTATCCTCGAGAGCAAGGTCATCCTTCCTCAGAAAAGGAGACCAAAACTGCACACAATATTCTCGGTGTGGCCTCACCAAGGCCCTGTATAACTGCAACAACACATCCCTGCCCCTGTACTCGAAACCTCTCGCAATGAAGGCCAACATACCATTTACCTTCTTTACTGCCTGCTGCACCTGCATGCTTACCTTCAGCAACTGATGTGCAAGGACACCCAGGTCCTGCTGCTCACTCCCCTCTCCCAGGTTATAGCCATTCGGGTAGTAATCTGTCTTCTTGTTCTTGCTTCCAAAATGAATAATCTCACATTTATCCAAGTTAAACTGCATCTGCCATTGCTCTTCCCACTCCCCAACCTGTCCAGATCATGCTGAAGGATCTCTGCATCCTCGTCACAGTTCACCTTCCCACCCAATTTGGTACCCCCACTTGTCGAAACATATTTCCAACATTTACACTATCAAACCCCACAGAATCTTGAATGTTTCAATAAGATCACCCCTCAATCTTCTAAACTGTAAAAACATAACCTGCTGTTTAGCTGTTCTTGATAAATAAATGCTTTCAACCCAGGAATCTGCCTAGCGAATTTCTTTTGAACAGCCTCCAATACCAATACATCCTTTCTTAAATACAGTGACCCAAACTGTACACAGTAATCCAGGTGCAGCCTCAACAACAGCCTGCATAGCTACGACAAGGCTTCCCTGTTTTTAAACTCTAACCTCCCAGCAATAAAGACTAAAATTCCATTTGACTCCTTCATTATTTGCTGCACCTGCATGCTTATGTTTTGTGCACCCACATCCCTCTGCATTGCACTTTTTTGGAGTTGTGCCCTATTTGAATAATAGCCTGCCTTATGATTCTTCCCACCAAAGTGCATGACCTCACATTTTCCTACAATAAACTGTGAAGAAGATTATCTAAGAGTACAATGTTGATGAACTGGGCCAGTGGGCTGACGAATGACAGATGGAGTTTAATTTAGATAACTGCAAGGTGTTGGTAAGACAAACCAGGGCAGGACTTACATAGATAATGGTAAGACCTTGGGCTGTGTTGTCGAACAGTGAAACTTAGGTCCATAGCTCCTTGAAAGTGGTACCACAGGTAGACAGACTGGTGAAGAAGGTGTTTGGCACACTTGCCTTCATTAGCCAGAGTGTTCAGTGCAGGAATTGGCATGTCATGTTACTGCTGTACAGAACATGGGTAAGGCCACGTCTGGAATACTGCGATTCTGGTCACCCTGCTATAGGAAGAATGTTGTTAAACTGTTCTGTCCCCCGTACGATTCTATGAATCTAGGAACACAAGTAACAAAAGCAACCCGGAAGTTTTAATCAAGCTGATCTTTTCAAAGTGGGAACTCTCTGCAATTTTTACACTGATGTTATGTTACAGTTTACCTGATAATAAGTTTCAGATTCTTGACTCAGTTTTGTATCTTACATCGTTGTTGCACCCACCATATTAGCACCACACCATTCTCATTTGATCTAATCTGATAGTGACATCCTTACTTTTCTGTGTAGCCGCAAGTATATTCCTTGACCCACCACTGGAATAAGTGCAGTGTTTAACATTGTGACCCATGGTATTTCAGGAATTCCCATTAATTTTAATTGGATTTATTTGCCTGGCTAGCTGTAGCTTGACCCATAGGGCCAGACTCGAGTCTCATGCATTCCTCCAATGATAGTGAATTCCTGAACCCTACTGAGATTTCCAAGTATTTATCCATTTATCATTTGCTTTGGAATATTTTTCTTGGGATGCTGATACGATGGCTGCTTCTCGAATGTGGCAGATCAGGAAGTGAGTTTCATCAACAATTTGTTGTGATTATCGGGAAAGACCCCCTCAACCAGATGCCGCCATGTTTCAGTTTCAAAAATTCTTCTGTATCAGTTGAACATTTTGTTTTATATTGAAAGCAAATGAAACAAAGAGATTAAATTACAGTAACTACTGTTGCCATAGCATTCAATTGTAGGCTGCAAGCAATGGAATTAAATTGAATGGATAATACTGAAAGAATTTTTGACTCTTTTTAAAACTCCTTTTTAACCAAAGTTCATCTCATTGTTTCCTACTCTAATTTATTTGTTCCCAGAACCTCAGAGCTGGAAGTCCCTGATCTTTCCTATTTTCCCAAGGCTTTTGAAAGCTAAGCTTAGTATAGCCTAATCAGTTTTTCATGGCTTATTATTGCCTTCCTTTTTATTCTCTTCATACCTGGAGGACATTGGTCTTAACGCTCTAAAGATATGTACAATATTACAGTTAGAATTAGCATCCAACCAGAAGGTACTGAGACATTGCTTGTTTGCATTCTGGGAATGGGCTTTGTGTTAGAGCGGGTGTGAAGGGTGACGTGAAAGAACCTGGTGTCAAGGAACAGTCAGCCCTAAACATTACATAACTGTAGTGTTTCCTTCCTCCTCTGGGGTGGCACGGTGGCTCAGTGGTTAGCACTGCTGCCTCACAGCACCAGGGACCTGGGTTTGATTCCACCCTTGGGTGACCGTCTGTGTGAGTTTGCACATTCTCCCCATGTCTGTGTGGGTGTGCTCTGGTTTCCTCCCACAGCCCAAAGATGTGCAGGTTATGCAGATTGGCCATGCTAAATTACCCGTAGGGATGTGTAGGTTAGGTGGGTTATAGGGAGATGGGTCTGGGTGGGATGCTCTGAGGTTCGGTGTGGACTTGTTGGGCCAAAGTGTCTGTTTCCACACAGTAGGGATTCTATTGTCACATGTACTCACATGAGTACTGTGAAAGTGTATAAATCACCACTCATGGTGCGATTTTAGATACCAAGGTACCTAAGTACAGATTCTTAAGTACAAATTTTTAGGGGGAAAAGCCAGTAAAATAAACAAATAAAATGTCCAGCAATAAATTAGAAAAATAGAGGAATAAAAATTTAGAATAACAGTTCTTCCAACCCAGACCCTGCCTGCTTCACCTCAAGGCCAGGAGTGCTGGGAGTTCAAGTCCACGGTGAGGCCGGGAGTTCGAGTCCACGCTGAGGCCGGGAGTTCGAGTCCAGGCTGAGGCCGGGAGTTCAAGTCCACACTGAAGCTGGGAGGTCGAGTCCACGCTGAGGCCGAAAGTTCAAGTCCACGCTGAAGCTGGGAGGTCGAGTCCACGCTGAGGCCGAAAGTTCAAGTCCACGCTGAGGCCGGGAGGTCGAGTCCAGGCTGAGGCTGGGAGTTCGAGTCCACGCTGAAGCTGGGAGGTCGAGTCCACGCTGAGGCCGAAACTTCGAGTCCACGCTGAGGCTGGGAGGTCGAGTCCAGGCTGAGGCTGGGAGTTCGAGCCCACGCTGAAGCTGGGAGGTCAAGTCCACGCTGAGGCCGAAAGTTCGAGTCCACGCTGAGGCCGGGAGTTCGAGTCCACGCTG